TCTGACAGACGGCTGACCCGGGCAGTCAACGAAAGGAATAGCAAAGGGAGGCCGGCACTGAGGCACTACAAAGCTGGTTTTATCAGCGCGGCGCTATCCCAGCTACATCCAAAAGCTCTCAGCAGCACAATGAGCTCGGCTGAATATTTGATCAACTGTCTCAGGTTTAACAAGCCTTGCCAAACTACACCTGCCTGGAGGAAAAAGATATGCCTTTGAGCAGGGCAATGCCTCCCCCCAAGATGTTAGGGAAATAAGCGTTTGATGTTCACAATACCCAATCTGCACTAATCTCATCCAATCTTGGGCACTTGGATTCTCAGCGAGGTTCAAGATTTGCATTGCTGAACAATAGCTCTCTGGATGCCAATGATGCCTTCCAGTATAATCTGGCTGTAAATTACAAAACAATACACTCGGCCCACTGTAGGCTGAATGGAGCTTTTATAGACTGAATTCAATAAAATACCATATAACTGTCCTTCATGCCGAGTGTGATACGACTGATGTTTCGTCATAAAGCACTCTGAGACTCTCCGACGTACAAAGTCATGGATAAACCACTTGTATAAAGGTGTGAATTTACGTGGGTATGCTCTCTGTAGCTTTCTGTCTTTGAGTCTGAGCTTGTGTGTCTGTGTGTCTGTGTGTGTGTGTGTCCACCTCAAGTCATCGTCACTGGCTGCAGCTCATTGCCCTGCAGTAATATCAGGCCTTGCAGACACCTGGGACCAGTGGTGTGGGCCCTCAGAGGAGGCAACCGCCTGGCAACCGGCCCTGATTACTTTCTCCACTCTCCGGAACTCAACTCTGTATATGCCATTAACCAGCTGCACGCGGTGTGATCCCAACTCGACCGTGCCATTAACCCTGTACACAAAGGGTTGTTTACAAACACACACATAGTCTCTCTCTCTCACACACACCCACACACACACGTACACACCAGACAGAACTTCACAGCTTAACCGCCAGCCTACTGATGCCACAACCATCTGCAGGCCAAAGTCTTCCATAATCCCCCCAGTGAGAGCTGCACAGCGGGATAACATGAAGCAAGGGTGACATCTAGTGGACAAATTATAGAACAACCAGACATGTGCTGTTCATTATTAACAGCAGTTGCATTGTTTTATCATTATTACAGTAACACATTATAATACACAGAGTGAAAAGATGGACAATAACTCCTTCCTTGGAAAAATATGAGGTGTTTGAATGTGATTTCATTATGTACAGTTTGACCTTGCAGTTTATTTCCTAATTGTTTGTGCTCCTGCGGACCCTACAGCCATAAGTTTAATCAGAATCAGAAATACTTTATTGATCCCCGAGGGGAAACTGTGATTTGTTACAGTCGCTCCGATGTAAAGAATAGAGGATTATAAAGTAAGAATAAGGTATGAAAAAGAAGTATGTACATACAAAGCAATAAAATTAAATTAAATTAAATTAAAGAAAATTGAATTAAATTAAATTGAATTAAATTAATTAAAATAAAGTGAAATTCAGTTAAATTGAATTAAATTAAATTAATTTAGATTAAATTGACAATAAAAAAAATGAAAATGTCCATTAAAATAAAAATAAAAAAATAGAATGTGCGTTATGCTATGGTGTTTAACATTACTACTTCTTAAGATATTAGAATATTGAAAATAAAACATTGTCACTGTGCTGAGGCTTTAAGTCTGAAATTTATCTACAAAATATACAACAATAGAACAATCAAGAATAGAATAAAGGTAAAAAAAAAAAAAAAGAAATACAGTCATGTGCATGATAAAGTCGTATACTGAAAAATATTGCACAGTTGAATTATTGCACCCAAAATAATTAGGAATTATAGATGCAGAAAGTGAATAAGGTCCAGATGCCAGTCTACTGATGGGAGGAGCTTGATGGCCACAGGCAGGAATGACTTCCTGTTGTGCTCTGTGGTGCATCTTGAGGGAATGAGTCCGTCACTGACTGTGCTCCTGTGTTTGAGCAGCACATGGTGGAGTGGGTGGAAGACAGTGTCCAAGATGACACGTTTCTTAGACAACACCCTCCTCTCTGCCACCACCACCAGAGAGTCCAGCTCCACCCCCACGACATTACTGGCCTTGTGAATCAGTTTATTGAGTCTGTTGGCGTCTGCTGTCCTTAACCTGCTGCCCTGGCATACAACAGCAAACAGGATAGCACTGGCCACCACAGACTCGTAAAATATCCTCAGCATTGTCCGGCAGATGTTCAAGGACCTCGGCCTCCTAGGCGACTCTGGCCCTTCTTCAGTGTTCGTTGACCAGTCCAGTTTATTGTCAATATGCACTTCCAGTAAAAGTAATGGTAAAAATTGCAATATGTCAAATAGTATTGAAGTTGTAGCTCCTCATTTTGCCACTAATGCATTTCATGAAGGTGAAGAAATACAGAAATGAATAGAGGTGTGAACCCCAGCCACATGACTCCGTCAGGCTGGAGTCACAAATTTGATGACTTTAAACTTAACTTGACAAAATCAAAAAAAGACACGCAAATTGACATGGACTTAGACACTAATGACTCGTGACTTGATACCTTCTCCCAACCCAAAGATTAAAAGGTATGTCACAAGGCAGTGACTTGACTTAGGACTTGATATTCGCCTGTCCTAACTTGGGACATGAATGCAGATATTTAAGACTGACTTGATTCTTGCAAAACAATGAATTGATCCCATGGATCCTTCGAAATAATATTAAAGCAGGCATGTCCAAAGTGTGGCCCGAGGTCCAAGTGTGACCTGCAGACACATTTTCAACGACCCTTGCCTTGTCTTTTAAAATATACTACAAAATTAACTCAATGTTAGTTAATCAAGCAAGATCACTTTGCATTTTTTCCATTTACCTTACAACGGCAGCACTATCATGCAGTTTTTTTTTTTAAATATATAACTTGTATGATGTGAGAAGCAGCTGACCTCCAGGTATTTTCACGTTATCTAATCTGGTGCCCGTTCAAAAAAAAAAAAAAGTCTGGACATCCCTGCTATAAAGCATCGTTATTTCACCAAATAAATAAATATTTGATCTTTTGTATGTTATATGTGTTTTGCATGAACAAATGATATATCCTACATACTGACCTTATGTTTGGGGTCACTTACACCCCAGAATCCTTGTCTAATGTCCACCTTATAACATCCGATTTTGGAGGGATAGTATTTCTTTAAATTTAACTGTCAACACCAATACCACTATATACATATATAGAGAGAGAGCATATGTATGTACTTAGCCATGTTTTACAGAAGTAATGCTTCATTCTGTATTAAAAAAAGTCATGAAGTATCAAGGTGATAAAACGTTACATAAATAAGAGCATAAGAGAAGTATTATTTACCAGCATAATATACTTTAAGCATGAAGTACCTGTTGTGCAAAACAGCTTATTTCAGAGAGTTGTATTGTTATTTAGAGTGAGTTATTATGATACGGTATTAGTGTGTAAGCAGCATTTTAACGTTGCAGCTTGCGATGATCATCGCCTGATAATGAGCCAATGGGCCCCTGGGTATAGATATGCAAAAGGCCCCACCACCTCTCATACACAAGAGCAAGACACACAGACTTTGTGATGGTTGTGCATCTCTTTGTAGTTAAGCATCTTTTTGTAGCTTTGTGTCTCTTTGAGGTCATTTTGTGTCATTTGCAATTCATTTGCATCTTTTTGTGGTCACTGTGAGTGTCTTCTAGGTGTCGGTATGTGTGAATTTGAGTGACATTTCGCAGGTCAAGGCCAGTAGCAGGGGTGTAAATATAGACAGTGCAGGCAGTGCGGCTACCTCTACACAGCCCCATAGAGACATCATCGCAACATATTCTATTCTACGATAGAATTAAATGTTTACTTTACATAAACTATAAAGCCACAAATATACTATAAAAAATATTCAACTGAATGAATATTTTTGTCGTATACAGATTTACGCTGATGATTGCTGGGTAATATGTATGTCTTCTTGCACTAGGGCCCGTCACAGTAAAGTGCACTGGGGCCCGTCCTAACAACCATACGCCACTAGCCAGTAGGGCTCCTTACACTTTGGGCCCCAAGCCTGTGCACGATAGGTCCATCCAGTTATCCATCCACACTTGAATTTCGGCTTCTTTTTTTTTTAAATATTTTTTTATATTGTAGTGTGAGCTATAAAACACATTATAATTTATTTGTTAATAATATGTAGGCTAAATAAAATAAATAAATAATAATAACAATAATAATAATAATGATAATAATACAATTCTTTATCTTTAATTCATTTTTACACATCCAAAAAAAAAGAAAACCTAAAAAAAACAAAGGTGAGGGGGAATAGCTGTTATTTTGTCCTGAAACCACGAGAGGGCGTCTTGTCCTCGATATGATTTTATTTTATGTTTTATAATGTACAAAGTAGGAGAGGACGATTACTAAAAAAAAAAACAAAAGAAAAAAAAAGACTAAGGCATTGTTCCAGACTCAACCAGGAAGATTTAGATCAAGGTACTTTAGAAACTATTGTGCAGAATTTTTAAATCAGATTACAGTATCCCATGGTCATTTATTAATGACAGCCACCATTGCATGTAAGCAACACATAGACATAAGTTTTAGAGCTCGTACACAGATATAACCTTAGCCTAATATAGGCATTGCTGGGGGGGTTTCATATAAAAAATGAGGTTTTAATTGTTCCAAATAGTTCAGTATTTATTGTCTGTAAATGTCCTCTATAAATATCTTCACTTGATGTGACTTTGTTTTAAGGTGCTACATCTATAATACCTGCATATTACAACAAAGAGTGGAATTCATTTCATTTAATGTGTTTATTGTCACTGTATCGCCCAAAGCAACAACAGCAACAAGAAAGAAATGTGAAATACACACACACACACACACACACACACACACACACACACACACACATACACACACACACACACCCATAAAGACAGAAAGCAAATAGCTGGAGTAGTACAGCGTGACTGACTGGCAGCCAAAGGGAAACACCTTATCTTATCTCGGATTTATGCAAATATTTCAAGGCTCAGCATGCCTCTGTCCGTCTGGAGGAGGAAAAGGGAAGAAATCATTTCCAGGAGGGAGGTGCTACCATCAAGTCCGTGTCAAAAGTTACTGTACTTCGCTTCGGAAACATTAACGGGAGTTTGAAGAGACTTCTGTCGACAGATGGGACACGGAGAGACGGACACGAGCAGTAAGGTGAGTTGTCTTTTCACCTCTGTGCTGATAACGAGAAATGAGCTGTCATTATCTAACCGGCCGGTCAGCAGTGGAAATGTACCGCTGGAAGTGTGTCACCTGAGTCAGGTAGAAGTCCTCAGCCTCACAGGGACGTTTATTACGTGTTTATATGTAGATACAGTTGACATAAGGTATATACAGTGAAGCGGTAGGCGAGTCTTTATTATTACATAATAAGATATTTACATGTGTAGTCTTATCAGATACTCCAAAAGGTAATGTAGTATACATATTAACATGGGAAAATGGCAGCTGACAGTTCTGCTAAGAGTATTTTAAGGAATAGTGGTCAATATAATTCATGAAAGTGCTTAAAATGAAGTCATAAAAATGTTCAATAATGATCATTTTTCATTATATGTTAATTTATTAGTTATTTTCTTGATTATGCAATCAGTCTTATTAAACCACAGGCAGGCAATGTGCTTATTAAATGTGTTAAGTGTGTTGTAATGACTCTATTTGCTTGTCTTACTAACTATTTGTCTGCATTTACGATGTTGTCTTTTGTGTTCGGTGAGCCAAAGACAAATTTTCACCCATGGTTGACAATAAATTATATATTCTATTCTATTTTTTTCTATCATTTGGTCTTTAAAAAAACACATAACACCTTATGTCCGAGCCTGAGGTGACATCATCAGAAGTATTTTGTTCAACCAACAGTCCAAAACCCCAAAATGTTCAAATCACTTTCATTTAAGAACAATAAAAGCAACAAATTCTCACACTGAGCACCTAAAGGACATTTTTGTGTAAGCATTTTTGCTTGAAAAGACAACGATTGATTATTAATTTTGTGTTGATCGATTAATCGGTTTGCTTGCAGCTCTGTACTGTGTGAAAATCCGTAAAAAGGAGTGGGTGGAATAGTTACTGAAAACTTCTATTGTGCAACTTCGTTTTGGGGTCTAGCTGAGATATCAGAGTTTCCAAAGATACCAAATATGTCCGGTTGAATTTTGAGGACATGTGTATACAGACTATTTCAGTTTGAGGTAATGGTTCAGCCATAGAATAATAAATGGTCCCTGGTTTTAATGTTTAACTTGCTGTAAACATCCAAGAGGAAGTAAATCAGAATATATAGGATTCTGTCAGATAGTGTGGTAAATTATTATTTTGCAGTCTTAAAGGAAACCTGATGATTAATGATGTCAAATAAACATGTATCCCTAATTAAATGTCATTTTCTTTCAGTCTGTCGATGAACACCACCCTGCAACTGTGTTCCACGTCTTCTATGCTGCTGAAAAAAGTCCCAAATGCTCCAGGATGGATCAGGTACTCCCCAGCCCGAGCTCAGCGTCTCAACTGCTGGAACCAGACAGCGAGGAGCTCCAGCTCAGAGTGGACTTCTTCAGGAAACTGGGTTACCCCTCAGACGAGGCGATGGCTGCCCTGAGGAAGCTGGGCCTGAGCACAGACACTAACGCGGTGCTGGGAGAGCTGGTTCGGAGCAGGACGGGCACTACGCCCTGCTTGTCCGGTTCTGACGGTGACGAGAGGAGCACAGGGCAGAAGGACCCTCTGCTGCCGGCCAGCTGGGCTGCTGGACCCTTCAGAGTCACACCACAACTGGGAGAACGGAAGAACACAGACACAGAATTGAGGCCTGTTGTTATTGATGGCAGCAATGTTGCCATGAGGTAATCTTGCTAAGCTATTTTCTCTCCTTTATGAGATCATTCATTCCAATTATAATTCACAAACCGCGATCACTCACTGCCATGTTGTCATTTAACTCTGCCCTTGAAATATGAACGGTCATGTCACTTTAAAAAGGCAGGCGTTCACCACCACCACCCTGCCTGTGCATGTTTTTGTCAAGGCCACTGCTACAATATGCAAATACTAGGCACACACCTCAAAATCTCCACCTCTCAATAGATATGAAATGTAATACAGGAAGTTCACAGCAAGTAATAGCCTGAGGGAAGATTCCCTCCGAGAGAACATTCAAAGGCATGTGGTGTTTACACAGATCAACTGAATTTTTACTTCTCCCTTTCATATTATTTATAGTCAAATTACTTGTTCTCCTCCTCTCTCCCCTGCTTCTTTTTTTACAGCCACGGCAACAAGGAAGTGTTTTCATGTCGAGGCATCCAGCTCGCAGTGAACTTCTTCTTGGATAGAGGTCATAACACCATTACCGTGTTTGTTCCCAGCTGGCGCAAAGAGCAGCCCAGACCTGACGCCCCCATAACAGGTAAAGGATACAAGAAATGTACAAGCAAGCAGGTGGTTCTCATCAAGCTGAGCAGTGTTAGTTTGACCGCACAAACAATCCTCAGTCAAGGCAGAAACAATCTCACTAACATGACCCTATTATTATGAATATGACAGTACTTTGAATTTGAGCAGTATATTCCCTTAGGCCTTAGTGAGAACCAGTTTCAGATTAAGACTGGTGGGATATGTCTGAGTCATTCTTCGGACATGCATTTGGAATATGCGTCTCAGTTGGGGTTTTTACTGCAGTTTGTGACACACTTTCCTTTGTCTCTTTGCAATGTTCATGGACGGATTGCACACAAGCTAACAGTTTGGTTGGGATAGAAATGCATGCTCCAAATAAAAGCCCACATTTCTGCTCAGAAGGACAACATACTTATTTTTAAACACTATTAAAGACTTGGATATCAACAGGTTTTTGGATAGGGGCAAATATCGCATTAATCGGAGTATGCAGAGCTGCACGTAAAGAGGAATTTTGAAATAATTTAGTTCATTGTGCTGTTCAAAGTCTACTGGCAGCTACTGGCAACTTTTAGGGTGGAAAATTTTACTGCGTATTGCTCAGTGCATGAGTTGACGTCATGAATCAATCACTTCTGTTCCATTTGTTGTTATTGGCTCTATTGCTTTACAGGCGGCACAATGGTGCAGTGTTTAGCATTGTTGCCTCACAGCAAGAGGGTTGCTTCAAACACCAGGGTGGGGTAGTTTTTATGTTCTCCCCATGTCATTGTGGTTTTCTCCTGGTACTCCGGTTTCCTCCCACAATCCAAAGGTTAATTGGTGATTCTAAAATTGCCTGAAGGTGTGAATGTGAGTGGGAAGGGTTGTCTGTCTCTATGTGTCAGCCCTGTGATAGTCTGGCGACCTTTCCAGGGTGTATACCGCCTCTCGCCCAATGTCAGCTGAGATAGGCTCCAGCCCTCGACCCCTGGCAGGATAAGCAGTTCCGGAAAATTAATGAATGAATATTGCTTTACATGTGCTTTAGAGGTGATTGGATCTTCAAAGAAATTTAGAGTAGATGAATTTCAACCGCATTTATCGAATTGCAAATATTTAGCGTTGTTCCGGTGCGCTCCGGCAGCACTACACCTACATTTCTGAGATATCGCAGCCAAGCTGGAGGAGATGGTAATGCAATGTACGTTTGTGCAGTGTTAAAGAAAAATTAAAAACAAGCTGCTGAGTGCAAAAGCAACAGCGGGGTGGACAGAAAAACATTCTGTTAGTTCACAAGCAAGTACGTCACAAATTAAAGACACAACTTAAAACAGGGAAATACAAATCCCTGCCACACTTGGCTGACGCGAGTCAGGCCAAGCCAGCACTTCATTATGTAAAACAGTAAGCAAATATGTCAATGTTCACACAGCCTGACATTCAGCGCTGATTAATTGTTACATTCAGTTCTGTACTCAACTAGCTATATGAGCACTGTCCATTACATAAATAGTTCAACAGCTTATTTTACTGAGTGTGGAAGATTTTTTTTGGCTTTTGCAATCTGTCAATATGCTTATAAAAAGGAAGTAATGTACTGTGCAGTATGACTGAGCTGACAACAGCACCCTCAGATTCCACCTCTAAAAGCTATTGATTCACTCAGTGAAGGTGGTGATTCAGTGTCGTCATTTCATTCAGTTCAAAATTGTTGATAGAGTTTTTTTTCATACATGCACTGAACACCCCGAGGAGACAGCGAACAAACAAGACGGGAAATCTCAGCACCTTTCCAGCCAACAACACCTTACAAAAGCTGGAAATACCAGTGTTTGGGAGCTGAATGCCAGTGTTAATAACTTACATGACATTTATCATTTGTGGTTATGCTTGCGTCAGATGCGCTTATTGCACACAAAATATTTTGACACTCCACCACTGGAGAAGCAGTCTAGTCTAGTCTAACGGGATTGTCACTGATGACAGAAACACTTCAAAGTGAAAACCGCTAACCACCGCTTAGCTTAGCGTAGTACAAACACTGGAACAGGAACAACTTTGTTTATATAGCATCTTTCAAAACAATGTCACAAAGTAGAAACTTAGAAAAAGTTTAAAAGACGCAAAAGTGTCTTCACAGTCTAGATCGATGGACTGTGAGTAGATCTTAGGATAAAAGTGTTTTCTAACTTTCCCATGTCTTGGATGGGACCACTAACTTCTTGGAGTTTCCGCTGGTTGCTGGCAAACTGATCCAGCTCAAGGAATATTCCAGCACATTAACTCGATGTACACTATCGTTTTGCACTTGCTGGGTTAAACAAACAAGATATAATGTGTTCATTAGTGAGCTTTAGAGGTGTTCGTCAGAAGGTTGGTAGATGTTGAATTTCTTTTAATCAGCCAAAAATCTGTGCTTCTTTTGCTTTATCCCCCATGGCATTTGTGCCTTAATACAGCTTCTCTTTTACTAGTAAATGTGACTGTGGCTGCTACGTAAACCTCCTCTGAAACTGAAACCAGCTGTAGGTATGCATATTCCTGTATCTGTGAATCAGTCTCGCAGCAGCCAGGATATACTGTTTCAATGTTGTCTGAGGCAGAACTATTGAACTCATGCCAAAGCAATGAGGCAACACAGCAAGGATTGAGAAACAGAGGTTTATCCAATTGCCTATCAATTTCCGTATGAGGCCAAGACAACAGTGAGCGTGGGCGCGCATTAAGAATGATTTGCTGTATTAGTTTCCGTGTGGGCACAGTGTGATAATCATCTGGCCATAGACACAACAGAGAGCTATACATTTCAAACAGCTGAGTCACTCACATTTTTGGTGTATCTGAACAATCCAGATTATTATCATATCTAGTCGATAACATACTTTTTATTTAACGTTATTGCAGCATGTTTTCAAGCTATTCACACTTACCTAACCTTTGACATCTTTAAGAATATTATGAAGGGTGAATCATCCTTTAAAACTGATGCATCATCACCTTGTGGCTCTCTTGATTTAGTAACTGTGCTGCCGGGGTGGAGCAATCCAAAGGTTCTATTTCCAATAAGCGAACAAGGAAGTTAAAGTCAGCCGCAGTCATTCCTGGGAAAGTCCCATCAGGAAGTACAGCTGTGTTTTTTCTTCCACACCTAACCTATTTGTAGTTAACTGCTGACAGTCATCTACAGCAAGAGGTTAAGTGAAGACAGTCACCCTAAGGGGCACTTAGCTACAAAGATACCTTTAAGTGTTTGTGTGTGGTCAGTAGCTCAGCCATGCACACCTCCAGCTTGCATGTAACCCGGCCTCTCAGTCATTCATTCATTCAGATTTCACGGTTCATTTCACCTCACTTCTAACTTGTGTAATTAGCAACTACAGTGTGTGTATTTGTTTTTATTCAGTCACATTGCAGATAGAGTATAATATCATATAATTTACATATTAGATGATGTAATAACTTGTCTGACGTCTCAAGTCTCCTGTGGTTGATTCCTGGGTGTTTTGTAAAATGCTTAATGCATGTTCTCTTAAGCGCTGTGGTTTTTGTATCTTGAACGTGCGGTTGTGGATCATGTCAAATGTGTGTCATGTTACATAACAAAGCTATTCACTGAGGGGCGAAGGTTATGTTTCAACATTGTAGGGGACAAACATATAAATAGGGGTTTAGTGTCCTCCCTCAGGAAATTTTGAGCATCAAACCCATGATTTTCTGCATTGTGGTGAATTTTTCTGCATCAATTTTTGGAGAAAATGTCTTTTATTTGGTTAAAATAAAAGTCCTCTGCTATGCACATGTTCCAAAATACTGAGGAGGGCATGTCCCCTGTTCCCCCCCCCCCCCCCGCCGAAATCTACGCCAATGTATTTACTTTATGTACAGCTTTCAGCAAAAACACTACACTATCTCTTTGCCGCCATCTAACTCGTGACTTTTTGCACTTTCAGATCAACACATCTTGACGGAGCTTGAAAAACGGAAAATAGTGGTCTTTACTCCGTCGCGACGCGTTGGTGGCAAGCGAGTGGTTTGCTATGACGACCGCTTTATCATCAAGTTGGCGTACGAGTCCGATGGAGTGATCGTATCCAATGACACCTACCGTGACCTCCAAGGAGAAAGACCCGAGTGGAAGAAATGCATCGAGGAGAGGCTCCTAATGTTCTCCTTTGTGAATGACAAGTGAGCAATTAGCCTGTTTTTCTACCTGAGCATGTGAGGTTTCACATTTCCCCTCCACCAGTGCTGTTTAATGTGGTTCCAGAGGGCATGTTGCATCTTGAGGTTGTAACCAGGGGAACATCATTACGCAGCACCCAGCTGATTTGTCTCAAGGAAATGAAGAAATCAGTCATTTGAAGCTGTGTTTGTTTTTATGTCCAGGTTCATGCCCCCAGATGACCCTCTGGGTCGCCATGGCCCCAGCCTTGACAACTTCCTTCGGAAAAAGCCTCTGCCAACGGAGCAAAAGAAGCAGCTTTGTCCATATGGTAAGATAAAGTTAGCACAGAGCTCAGGAAGCCTTCTGCCACAATAAACAGTATTTTTATTGTTTTATTCCTGTAGAGTGTTACAACAAGGAAGTAAGCTGATTCCCACATGAGATGATGTATAACTTTTTGTGTTTTCATTTTTGTTTTTCTCAGACAAAAAGTGCACTTACGGCATCAAATGCAAGTTCTACCATCCAGAGCGGTCGAACCAGTCCTACCTGTCCTTGGCTGATGAATTGAGAGAGAAAGCCCAGATTTCTACTGCAAAAGAAGAACGAAATGCCAGATTATCACCCAAACAGCTTCAGTCTGATCCTGGGCCTGCTCACAATGCCTTTTCCCACCCTCAAGACTCTAACGCAGACCACGTAAGAGACAGGCAAAGTTCTTCACATCCCGGCCAGGTTTATGAAAATGCACTGCTGTACTGGGAGGATCCTAGAAAAAGTCAAAATCGTATGCCCTGTGCTGTAACAGGAAGCCAGTGTCAGAAAGAGTGGCCTGGGCTGCACACTGTGCCCAATCATTACTATGCCAACATCTCTCATGACTACCTGGATTCTGGCCTCGGCTCTTACGACAGTCAGTACTCTGACTTTTCGCATTGCCTCAGCAACTCCCACAGGCACAAGCCCCAGCAGCAAAGTTCCCTAGCTGGACCCATACATGCCCCAGTGCAGTTAGAGAAAAATAACACCAGCCAGTCTTGCAGGTGCTGTTCCCATGTAGTGCCCTCAACAGCGCACCAACGACATCACCGACACCAAAACTATAAGGGTCAACCTGAATACGACACCTACCCTCCTCACATGTTCCCGCCTGGTTTACCCCACCCCAATAGCCTCCCCAGCCAGCTCCATTACAGTGGAGCCCCACATCATCACCAAAGTTACTGGTCAGATCCTTTTCAGGGGCTGCCCCAAGCCAGGTCCGGTAGTCTCCCCTGTTCGGCCCATTCCTCACACTCCCACAACTCATGTGGCTCTTACAAAGGCCACCAGTACAACTCCTGGGGCCAGCAGCAGTCCACCTCTCCTGCATTTGACTCAAAAAGGTTGGAGCTCCGCAAGAATCTGCAAGCCATCTTCAACCCGCAACAGGTGGATACAGTCATGGAAATGTTTCCTCATGTGATGAATGCAGAGAAACTGGCTGCAGAGATCCTCAACCTGAAGGCTCAGAGAGGGATATTCTGATAGTCCCTCTGATTACTTTCTTGCCTTGCATCCTCTTCAGTCAGAACTAACATGACACTTGTGTTGACTCACTGTCATGGCAAACAGGCAGACTCTTGAGAACCTTTTGTAATGTCTGTAGAGGAGTGATTTGAAACCTCATTGAAGAGATGACTCTGTGTAACGTGCTATCACATTGCCTTCCTATTCATGAACAGTGGAGCCAATCTTTTAAATGCATTCATATGACAGTGTAGTCAAATGTGACCTTGTCATCCAGTGTTTTGGATGAAAAGTGCCTCTAGATGAAAAGTTCTAGAGTTTTGACTGTTGATGCATATTGTGTCAAATGTGATTTATTTTAATCTTTGTCCCAAAATAAGTTCTCAAGCATTTAGGGAATCACTGTATAAGGGCATGTTTCCACATAGCATTCTTCTTTTGCGGAAAAGCTATGCAAGTGCACTGAAGAGCCTTTCATCCTAGCACTTTTTAAATTTTTCGCATTTGCATGTGAGTTTGGTTTCTATGACAATACCTTGACAGAGGGGTGACGACACAGTCAACCCTAACCCTAACCCCAACAACAAGCATACAACGCGTATGGTGGTTAAAGCACAACATTCACCAGCAACAATGAGTGTCCGCCAACTGATCTGCTCCCACAAATGCACTTTTGCGTCTTAGTTTCTGACTGGCATATCACGCAGTAGCTAAAGGAGCAGCATTGACGGCACTAGCACCTTTCTGAAAAGTTCAGAGATTTTCAACTAGAGGCGCTCAGAGCACAAAAAAGCCAGAGCGCTCAAAAAAAAAGACTCACTTTCCCATACGCACTCTTTTCATTGGGAATAAGTGGAAAAAGAAGTCGTCACTGAGGAAAAAAACACTATGAGGACACAGGCCCTAAAGTATTTTTTTTCTTTTACTTTCACTGTAGTTCTCCAGAACAGCTTGTTGTAGTTCAATATTATCTCTGTGAGGTGTTGCTAAAGTATGATTAAGTATAGTAGCTCAGTGCATTTAGTTGGTGTCAATCCAGCCGGAGATCCAGACTCTCAAATTGTACTTACACAATGTCCTGATCTAACAAGCAAACTGAGAAGAAGGCTTTGACTCCAGCAAAAGGAATTTGCTGGTGTGTCATCACCCTTTCCTGTAAATCTGCATCAGTTTGATGAAACATTGTCAGAACAAGTGTTGCTGTATTACATCGCATGTATTTGGTGACTGTGATTGCAAAATGAAACTGTAAAATTTTGGAATTTAGTTCTCAGGAACATGCAGATTTATGTTCTCTTAGAAAATCCATTTGTATATATTGTGAGATAAATTCATAACATGTCTTGAAAAAAAAATGTCATTAAAAATAAAAAATGAAATGTCACGTGTTAGTTATGTTTTTCTTCCTTGTAGTGTAGTACCAGTTTCTCTTGAGCTCATGACTCCAACGTGTATCAGGAACTTAGTATTGGCACTTACTCATGCTTACATCATCCCATATTGCCTAAGATTCCTCAATTCCCTTACTAAAATTCACAAATATGTCTCCCACGCACAGACGTGTCTTCGACAACCATTTTTATGAAAAATCTGGGACAGCCCAAGGGTTTTACAAACTTAGAAATGACCTGCTCTGCAGCCCATTTCGCAAGCTTGAACAAATCAGAAACTCATTTTGTGTTTCCACTGTCTGAGGGGAAAGGTCACTCTGTGTGTGCATTTGTGTGTGTGCTCAAGTGTCAGACATCAATTGAACAAAGTTTATGGCTGTTCCAGAGTTTCTGTTCAATGACACAGTTTAGCTCGACAACTATTTGATGGATTGCCATGGAATTTTGTGAAGACATACTGTACACGGTGTCCATTGGATGACTCCTCATGACTTTGGTGTTCCTTTGTTTTTTTCCTTTAGCACCACCATCAGGATGGATTGCTGTGAATTTTGGTAAATACATTTATGGTCCCAAGTAGAAGAATGGCAATCACCTCAATTCCCTGACTACTTTGGTTGATGACCAAATACCTTCAAATGTAATGGCACTCCCATCTGCTGTACTTGCTGTACTAATGAGCAAATGTTAGCATGCTAACACGCTAAACCAGTGGTTCCCACCCTTGTTTTCTTTAGGTAACCCTTTTCTACCATTGGGTGAAATGATGACCCCTGACTAAGTGACATTATTCATGGATATTTCATTTTATATTCAATGCAAAGCAAAAACAGTACCGAACAGATGACAAACTGTACAATTAACCCAAATAGTGAACCCAGTGACTGCAAGAGGTTTGTGTAAAACAAGCTTTTGGATAAATTTTGACAAGATAATTCCAAGTGAATATTTTTAGGATCTTTGTATACAATTCCCTTTTTGTATTTTCCCTGATGCTTTTCCATGGTTCTAATAGCTCTTTGGGTTTTGTGTACTTCTCTAATGCAGGACGAGACTGTTCAGCAAACACTCTCTAAATATAGCTTGTGTTCAGGTCTTCTATGTGCCCTTTATCTTATGAGATTTTTCTAAGTTTATATCTTAATAATAAAAAATAACAGTTGCATTTAGTTTTCTTTACAGAACTATCAAAATGCAGGGATACAAAAAAGGCCTCTTACACCCCTTAAAATCAAGAGAGCCTTACAAACCCTCTGTTGGGAACCAGTGCACTAAATTACCACGGTGAATGTGGTAGACATTATATCTATAACACAAGGGCATAAACTTTGTTTCAACATTGTGTGAGTTGGGAGTGAGTTACTGCCCCAAGCGAGGGAGTTCAAGTATCTCAGGGTCTTGTTCATGAGTGAGGGTAGAATGAAGAGTGAGATGGATCGGTGGTTGGCACAGCTGTGCTGGACCGTCGTGGTGAAGAGGGAGCTGAGCTGGAAGGCAAAGCTTTCAATTTACTGGTCCATCTACGCCCAACCCTCACCTATGGTCATGAGCTCTGGGTAGTGACTGGACGAATGAGATCGCGGATGCAAGTGGACGAAATGAGTTTCCTCAGATGGGTGGATGGGCTCAGCCTTGGAGAAAGGGTAAGGAGCTCGGAGTAGAGCTGTTGCTCTTTCAACTGAAAGGGGTCAGTTAAGGTGGTTCAGGCATCTGATCAGGACGCCTCCTGGGCGCCTCCAATTAGAGGTGTTCTGGTCATGTCCTACTGGTAGGAGGCCCTGGGGCAGACTCAGGACACGCTGGAGGGATTACATATCTTGTCTGGCCTGGGAACACCTTGGAGTCCCCCAGGAGGAGCTGGAAAGTAAAGTTGGAGAAAGGGACGTCTGGAATGCTTTGCTCGGCCTGCTGCCCCCATGACCCGGTTTCGGATAAGCGGTTGAAAATGGATGGATGGATGGAATGTGGGGGACACATATGAAAAGGGGAGTTTAGAGGTCCTCTGTCATAAATTTCTGAGCGTCAAACACTGAATTCCTGCATTCTGGTGAATCAATTTATGATGTAATCATCTTTAATTTTGTCAAAATAAAAGTCCGCTGCTACTTTCATGTTTTTATTGAAGGGGACAAATGCACATGTTCTAAATACTAAGGATGTTTCCTATGTACCCCCCACCCCTCACCCTTGCCCTAAAAAAATCTACAGCTATGCTATAACATGCTATTATCATTGTGAGCATGTTTGAGCATTTCGCTCAGGGCAAGAAAAACATTTTTTTCATCACAGTCCTCAACAGGTTTTTGAGACCTATGGCCGTCATTCTTGAAGTTTTTTTTTCTTTTTAGCCAAACCTTACCCTGTGTTTGTGAGACTGAGTATTGCTACTTAGTTACTTTCTGCAACTGTCTGCTGAAGCTCACACAAGGGAACTATTTTATTAAAAGGTATTTTTATTGTGAATAATAGACAAAAACAATACACCCCTTTTATGTATATACTTTGATACAAATCCATGGATGTAACTACTGTTCTGCACTCTGTTGCCCCTCTTTCCAATCATCCAGATGGGATCAGCAGTCTGTTTTCCTGTCATTCCCAGGCCATGAGTAGTTTGTGGAATGGTACAAAGGCACCATAGCCAGGCTTGCTACAAAGGACAGAAACAGAAATAACAAAATATTAATGGTGGCCATGTTGGAAGTTCATTTAAAAAGTGTGAAACAAAAGGAAAGAGAAGGCACATAGCAGTGGTTTTAAAGATGTTTATTTACTTTATCCATGTGCAGGATAGCCTTGAGTAGTTTGTATGCTTGTTGTATGCTTAACCACCAGGTTAAGTCCTGCTAAGTCAAATTTGTCATTGCTGCAGGCAAGCGAGTTAACACCTTGCATTCTAAGTTCACGTCTCACTTCTTAAATGCTGTAATTTGAGGCTGACACGTTTACCACAGCAGGAGATCTGCATATTCAGCTCAGCCACTAAGTGCACAGGATTTACTCAAGTGTGTCTGGAGGCTGTTAAATACCTAAGGAGCGAGTGTGTGATGCCTTCATTCACAGGGACACTTTAATGTGACACTATGTAACCCAGGCTTTATAACAGATGATCCTGCCAGAACATTACAGGTTCATTTAAACGTACCGTGTAAATCTACAGTGTGATATCTGAGTACACAGTAAATCCCAGCGCAGCCCTGAATGTTAGGTTACACACCCTTTATACATTTAGACACTGCATGTTGCTTGTGTTCACATGGTAGGAAAATGAGATCAGTTACCATTCAAAGTAGCTGTGTCCCCTGTGGCTGCCATCATGCAATCCGTGGTCAGGTGTCTGCAGCTCTACTCCAAGGTGGAGATCTGCCTCCCCCTGCAGGTGGCCCAGGAAACGAATCGTTCCTGTGCTGATCCGTCCAGACGGCAGCATAATCCTGACCCGGTGACCCAGCTCCAGGTCCATGGGGGAGTGAGGTACAAAAACCCGATGAGGCCCTTTGGACATCCTCCATGATCTCACACTGGCGTAAGTGAGGGTTCAGTCAGTGATACAACAAAGACAGAGATGATCAATTCAGATTATATCATATATGGAGGGTTTTTTCTTTATTAAAGGTTCTGTATGCAACATTCAGAGCATTAATAAAGCAGCAAACTATTATTTGCTGTGTAAAGATAAAGAGGAGTAATGGCGTCCTGAGCTGGGAATGAAGTCACACTACCCTGTGTGTGTGTATGTTGTAAATCAAGCTTCTCTGTGGTTGCCTTGTGGTGAGCTGGCACAGCTGTGTGTGCATGTTAGTGCATGTTTGTATCCCACTGATATTCTGTCAAGTTTATGCTCGTGTGTTTGTGTTCACTTCCTGTTTTATTTTGAAGTGTGTTCTACTTGTGTTTAGTGTTTCTTTTATTTCCTGAGTTTTCCCGCCTCTGTTAATTACCTCATGTGTTTCACCTGTGTCTTGTTCAGTTCACCTGCGTGTAGTTAGAAATAAACTCTTTTGTATTCAAAGCCCAGTTCAGTTGCCAGATTGTCATTGTCGCCCTTGTGCGTTTATGCGCTCCAGCCTTTTCCTCATGTTTGATTCCTTGGTTTTTCACTGTGCTTGGAATTAGGGACTTTGCTTTTTGTGTGAGCTTCCTGAACCGACTTTTCTGCCTTCAATGACTGCCTTCACGTGTTTGACCCCCTGACGTCCTAAGTAAAGATTTGCATTGATAAACTGTTCATAGGTGTTTTGTACTAGATCGTTACACCCACTGGCTAGCTCATCACTTCTGCTTAGCACTGCGCTCATGTTGTGGTTACTGCTGATATCGGGACGGCATTGTGATTGTGGTGTAGCACCCACCCTATGGCTCCCCCAAGTTAACACCATTAGTTCTGTCAGCACTGTTGCCATTGTTTAGCACTGTTTATGTAGTTAGCATTGTTAGCTGCTTGCTGCTAGCTCAGCCACCTCCATGATGAGAACCATGTCCTGACAACTCATATGGCCAGAGACCCTCTGAAAATAAGTAGCGAAGTGAAATCTGTTGACCATGCAATCCTAGTTTCACCTTTTGAGAAATACACTTATTCACTTTCTTGCAGAGAGTTACGTTAAAACACTGATACCACTTTCACTTATGTACAGCAAATATGAAGCTACTTCCAGCTGTTAGTTAGCTTAGCTTAGCATAAAGACCTGAAAGCAAAGACCAGGTAAAAGCTAGCCTCTGTCTAGAGGTAGCCAAATCCACCTACCAGTGGCTGTAAAGCTCACTAATTTGCACAATATCTCCTTTGTTTAGTCTGTACAAAAACTGAAGAGTAAAAACATAATCTAACACAGGATATGGATTTTAGTAAATACCATTAGAGAGAGAACTAAGAAGCGGAGGAGGGATAGGATTTTTTTTTCACAGATAATCTGTCCTATTTACTGCTGTGTGGACATAGTGATAGTTTCAGCAAATATGACAAAGTTATTGTTATAAAAGTTATCAGCTA